AATTCTATTCAGCCAGGACCAGTGACCGGTTTAGTGAAAAGTCGAAATTATTTCATATTGACACTAATGAGAAAATTCGCTTTATTTGCACGTACACTGCAGACTAAACTGACAAAATGTTTCCTTTGAGAACGAGAACCAAGCAAAAGTCACATTCTCGCCGTTATATTACAACAAACATTTGAGAATTTCGACCCGTCTTCTTCTGCTAAAGTCTGAAAAGTGACATGAGATGCATGACATGACATTGGGAGGAAAGACTAATGACCATTTTCACAGGATGATGAACAGCCAGGCATAATAAAAGGTATGCATAAAATGTCGCCATGTTTTGCTTTTGTTTGACTCGTGGTGGTTGAGTGAAGGGTTTTGCACTAGAAGATATTTAATAATTCGGCTTATGCTATAACTTTCCGTCTCACATTTCTACAATTCCTGCAACCTCTCATCATCAATTTACTTCAGTCAAAGCCCAGGAAAGATGATGATGCGTGTCGTGTCTTGCATTGAAATCCGGGGACTAATATTCCCACAAATGGAAGGAAAGGAAATGTCGTCAAACAAGTAATCAAATTATCACATTTACAATTCCTTATTCCTGTAAAACAAGCTTGCGCCTGATTTTATCTCGTGAGTGCAACTGGAAACGGAAATTCACAATATTGCAATCCAACCAAACCTTAGTGTCGAATACTCGCTCCAAGTGCTGATTACTGCTGATACTTTTGTACGAACATGGTTAATCAAATATCCAAGTCCAAACTGCTTGCTTACCTGTAAACAAGAAAAAAAACAGATTTATTATTTAGCTTCTGATTATTTTATTTGCAAATACTATAGAACATCAATTTAGCATGAACTCCTCAGTAACGAGAAACACGTGTGTTCAATGACGAGAGGAGCATTATTTTATAACAGCGTAAATTTCTCACTTTCATCTCAAACGAGCTGATAGTAGCAAATAGTTCGTGGTAATTTCTGATATAAGTCATAAGTAGTGGATGTCGACCTTCACTTCACTTGGTCTCGACGTGTGAGTGCAATGGTGCCGTGTAATAATAATCATCATGTGAGCGAGGCAAGACAAAGGGGAATCTACGCCATCATTGAATTACGACAAAGAGTTGCGTAACAAATCCGTCCGTCCAAGTAGAAATGATGGAATGGTTTCAATTTTATGCAGCTTGAATAATAACAAGACTTCGCATCTTGCCTTCCATTACTTGCTACAAAATTTTACTAAAAGTCCACCTTACACAAGACTGATGAAAAATGCGGCATGATTTATTCAGACCGAAGGGAATATTATGCATCTGCCGGCCCCATTTCCCACACTATTCTTTTTTTTGTAAAAAAATCTTCTATATCGATAAAAATATTGAATGTGGGATGAATTAGCCCCAGAATTTGAGAAAGTATTTTCCTCTTGTGTGTATCGTTCTCATATTATTAAATGGAATGTTGTACTTTTGACAGCCCAACAATTTACTCTGGTCTTTTTGCCTTGTTTTGGATTTTTAACTACCAGTTATTATCTGATTATTATTACAATGCGGTGTTTAGAAAATCCGGTCGGGAGTTGTGAATATAAATATTTCAAGCATTTTACTCTCACAGTAATTTGAGATATATTTTGTAACCGTAAATACATACATGCATTCACATTTTGCTATTGTTAGGATAATTTAACTCGAAATAAAATAATGTTTTCATCGGTCTAAAAAGTTTGATAGATATGAAATAAAGGTATTTAAAATGCTACATACGTGAAAAGTGAATGAACACTTTTCCTCGCAAAGCGTATAATTAGTTGAAACCATATTTCAATTATTCCACGTATGAATTTCAATTATTTTCATTATGCTGAAAGGAGAAAATGAATGAGCGACTGCATGAGGATTACCAACAACCAGATTGTAAACGTGTAAATTCAATCAACTCAACGTCAAGTGATTTGCTTTTGGGTCACAAATGCTGCCAGTCAGGTCAACAGGAAAATTGTTTCTATTAAATTCTTGTACAAATCTCAAGGCAAGTTTTAAAGAAGAAGGATGATTTTTTTATAGTGCATAATAAACATGCAACTCAACCATGCTACCGTTTTCTTGCAAATTACAGGTAAACAAATCAAAAGAGCATTTAATAAAGCGATTACGAAGGGCTCGTCCTTTATTCCTTTGAGCTTTGATGCCATTTCATCTCACTTTCTGTGAAAAGTTTTCTCATCTTAATTTCAATTTTTATAAGAATTCATTGCCAATAATTTGTCATTAAAGTTTGATCAAACTGAAGCCACTTATCTGGACTTTTGATCTCTCCAAATTCGTTGCTGAATACATAAGTATCTCGCTCGAACAAAGGATTATTTCAGGATGTTGCAAAACCTCTTTTGGTTTATGCTGATATTAAATACTTTGATTTGAAATCCCATTCTTCGTATGACACAAAATTTCAATTTTGATAATAACGATGTTCTTACAAAAAATGAATATTTTAAAGCAAAACCTATAAACTAAGCACTATCGTAGCATAATCTTGGAGGTTTAATTTTCACTTTTCAAAAACTATCACTTTCATCTGACAAATTAAGTTGACGGTCTCGCATCTATCAATCACATTTTGCTCTCACACTCATCTCGACCAAACAAGTACATACATAATCTTCCTACCCACAGCCGAGTTCAATGTCAAGAATGTAATTATTTGTTTGGTCAAATGAGAGTAAAAGTGGAAGCATCGTAAGTACACACATAATAATCATCAAAGATGGTCAATCAATATCTCAAATTCCAATAAGCGTAAAATTTCTATGTGCCAACCCACTCATTTATTTTATCAGAATCTTCACTGACCCCAGTTAAAGTTAATGATCTCATTTTTTCCATTCTAACCTAACCTCAGAGTTTGCCAGCCTCAGACAACTCGTCATCTCGAGTTGCATCTAACTCGGTCGCACATAATTTCTATGTGTGCGTAATAACAGTATCAAAATTGGGTTTAAGTAGTTTTACTTTTCATTTCACTTGGTAATACTCTCAGATGTAACTGCTCTTGGTTACATGGTTATCGAGTGAGAAACTTTTAGAGTCATGTGGATACGTATCATCATCTTTCGCTCCTTCGTGTATCGATTCCTATCAATAAGTTGACTGCAGTAGAAATTTATTTGTAATTACGATTTGTCTTAAGCTGCTCATTATTCCCACCATGCACACAACCACAACCACACGTCTTGTTGATTTATTGCGTCTGGGTGCTCAAATCTCTGATGAAAGCAGAGGTAATTATGACTTAATTTTAAACTTGGCTGGTGTACTACAAGTTTTGGTCATGGAAAGGAAAAGTGACACTTATGGACGCGCTATAGGTGGACTTGTTTTGAGGTGGAATCACCAAAAATAATTTGATTTCTCTTGCTTGCTGAACAACATATGTAGTCAAAGACGAAGGGTCAGGTAAACATGAAAGTGCGTAAGTCCACATACATGCAAACTAATAGGAAGACCGTTTATCAAGGTGAGTAAGGTTACCCTATGGTTCAGGTGACAATAGGACACTCTTCTCTGGGGTGGTATCTAACAGACGTGTCACTCCAATTCTAATTTTAAACTCGTGTCACACGAGTCGTGTCACTTTTACCTTCTTCATAAGTTCAGGTCGCCCAGACAAAATGGTGATTGATGTCCCATTCAATCCTCATTCAATGGGCATTCACAATTTAATAGAGAGTCAGCGACAGGATCAGAAAATTACGGAACTGCTGAGTATGTAGAATGTAGGAACAGGTGAGTTGGAAAATTTCTCGTCTTAACTAATTGCAAGCCTGACCTAGGACTCTGCAGTTACCATTACGAATCCTGCGAAGAATTAGTTGTATGTTTTTCCTGACAAAATATTTGCCGAACGTGATGCTTAATCAAGTGATAACAGAATTAAGATTTCTCTTTCCAATTACCCATCTAAATTTGCGCTTATGAAACCACGGCTCGAGTCATAAATTTGTTGATATGCGTGAATGAAAATGTGACAATTAGTTGAGACGTATCTCCATTTGAATTGTCTATTTATGATGTTTTTCTTATTGTGCTGCCTGCCAAATGGTAAGATTTAAGAAAAAGTTGGTTAATTAAGGGGACGTTTATTAGCCTCATTAAGCTCATGAAATGAAATGTGATTATCACTTTAGGTTCGGTATTAAATTATGTTTCTTGTAATCAGTTTCCTGAATAGAGTTGTACACATGACAGTTTCCAACGAGGATTGAGAGTGAAAGAGTCAGCTTATGGGATGCTCAGCCTTCGTATCTACATATCTATTGCTTATTAGGCGAATGCATAATTCAAATTTTGAATTGCCTACAAGTGCATCCTCCAAGATGCTTTGTTTTAATGGAGCCCATTAACCTTGCCCTGCTTAGACTGCATAAGTTCATGTGTACATAAGCACGATAAGTAAGAGTGAGTACCTTTGTGTGTATATACGTATTTATGTACTGTATGCCTGGACGGTGTGTGTAATGTATGTACATTATTCTCACGAGTTTCGAAGTTCAAAATTTGAACTCTTAGAATTTAAAAAAATCGGCAACCCATATCCAATTTGTTTGCTTTTTAATTAAAACTTATCGTTTGCAATGCTTGCCTTTAAGGTTGGTAGACAATCATCATTTTGCATAATTGACGTGCCCACGAAACCCGCAATTAGGGACGAGCAGTAGTTTAACGGTTCCGTTTCGTTGCTACCAGATTGTTTTAATCAATTTGAATAATCTTTATGTAACAAGATTTCAGTATGAAAATCTTATTATTTGTATTAAATATGAAAAATTCAATAATTTTCCAAAGCATTCAACACAGTGTTAAATCCCGATTGAAGAGTAATTATTCTGCTGTCCGCTCTACCAAAAAACTTTGCTTGCATGTAATTGCACAATTATAATTAAAATTTACAAATTTTTTGAGTGAAGTAAAAAAAACTTGAGAAAGACATGAGCAATTTACCTCATTTTCATTTATGCTGCTAAAACTCCATCCGTTTCACAATTGGATATACATATATTTTAATTAACTTAAACACTGGCTCTGAGAGTTAATGTGCTTGAGTCATTAACACTCCATACGATAATTTGAATGTTCCTTGTGGTCAGAGAGTTGATAATTACCAAGAAGTTAAGTGGAAGTAAAACTCTGTGATTTTTTTGGTAGTTTTTTCGTTTCAATTCATGTCACTAAGAAATCGTGATGAGCACACACTTGAATTTCCTGTAATTTGTCCATGCAAAGTTGCACAAAAACCGACCTTACAAATTCACAGTTTGGCAAGGTTCGCAAAGTCTGATTACTTGTTCCTCACCGTGCATTAGGAAGGTGTAATTAAATTGGCATGAAGTTTGTAGTTTCAAACTTAATTGTAGAGTGTCAAAATGTCAAAATGGAAATTAGTTCGAAGGTGACTACCACCGAATTCAATTGAATCGTAAATTGTTAATTAACGAGTCATTAAACATTTATTCCATTCAATACGACACAGACATGGAGCACAATAGTTCTTAGTTCTCACAACTATACGTATCAGTTCTTCTAAAATAAGTAGTAGACAAAGCTATAATATTTTTCCTGTACTTGCAAATGCCTATTTAGTACAATATCTAAAAATAACTTGAAAATTATTATGGAATCACTTGCGTCAGCTAATACGTAAGCATATCGAAATATTCGGAAAATGCACAAATCACTGCCAAATAAATGATTAAACACCACGAATTTATTGTTTTCCGTTCTGTGAAAACATGTTTCAACACCTTGAAGTACATTCCACGAGCGAAGTAATAAGTTCACACAATGCAGCCGGACGACGGAGCAGATAAAGGAACAAGTTGGAGTTGGACGGCCAACAATGAGAATGAACTGTGGACCTTGTTGTTGCACCAAGTTTTAAGGTAGTCGTGGTGGCAGTGCAACAAGCAGCATGAGGATTTCGTGAGGGGTAGGTGAACAGCAAGTTGTAAAGTAACTGCATGTTGTTGGATGCATGAATTTGTACAGGTGAGACGACGAGAAGGTGAAAAGGGATGGAGGCTGGTCTGGCAATACTCTTTTTATGTATTTCATCCCGTGGTATTTAATAGTTGTGAGGTAAGCATAACCACGTAAGCATTTCATTTTACTTTATTAGTGACATCCCCAGACAGCTACGGTTCCGAATCGCTGTTGAGAGCTCACTTTCCTTCAAATATGAGCTCCCACAAGGACAAAAAGCATCCAGCTCAATTTTTCTTTCAACCCGAGATTGTTTTGGCTAGGTGAGTGAGTCCATAACGTAATAAGCAGCAACACCACGACTCCTTGGGTCAATCTCGTTCATGAGTTTAAGAAGTTTATCTTGATGGGACGACCATTATCCGCTCTTCTGTAATGTGTGCCGTCCACAGTGATGGATCTTTCTGGTGGCGTGGGGTTCTGCTGCCCGTAACGCAAGGTAAAAGGTCCTGGGAAAATCGCCATTGCATTTTTGCCCTCAACCAGACCAGCTATGTACATATACCTTACTAACCAACCATGCTATCCACCACTGATCTTATTAATAATGAGGACCATTTCCTTGTATTAACCACTCCAGCCTACATACAAAAATATTATGGTAGGATGAGGTCGGGACTTAAGGAGAAGGAGCCTACTACATATTTAGGCTGACATATCGAATCTTATTCACTAACTTGAAGAGTTACGCAAGACATGTTGGAATAAACAATTGATAGGTTTGATTGACTTTGTTGAAATTATTTCATTTTCATTACAGTAATGAGAACTTTTTGCATTCTTGATCTCGGGCCTCGGGTTGATTACATCAAACACAGAACTGAGAGAATATGTACATGGTCTTGACGCATCATTATTGCAGTATCCAGGAAGTGGAATCAAAGCCTGTCCAATTGAACATTGGTTAGTACATATTACCAGTTTCATTTCGCGTTCGATATGAAGGGCGAAGAATTGAAATCAAGAAACAAAATAATGTAATGAACTCTTCGCAGTTATGCCTTTTAGCATATATTTGGCTGTTGGCTTATTCATTAGTGTTCATCAAGATAGCGAGATTTGCTGGTGGATTCTCATTAACTGAACTCAAGTGATACATACTCGCAGTGTGTTTAGTACATGTTCCAGTAAGAATGTAAAATGCAAAATAGTTTGTACATTTGTTTTCAAGTTTTTCAACTTTGCCAGCCAAAGTGGACTTTGGTTTCAGGAATATCGATTAAGTTCATCTATTTGGTTTGGCTGTCACTCAATTATTTCTGCAACTTGATGAGAGCCAAGAAAAAGACTTCAAGAGAATGTTTGTTGGCACTTGGCTCATACTCTGCGTTTCACGCACTTTTGGTTCACTGATCCTGATCTGAATTTTAAATTTCTTTTTTTTAACCAGCTCCTTTGCAATTTGTTTCATGAAAGCTGCGAGTTTTGTTCACAAATTGTAAACGAGTACGAAATGCGTATGGACACATACCTTTTTCCATTAATTATTTATATCACTTTTGATCAATGCATAATCAAAAGGAAATAAATCAAGCGGTCATTCTGTCCACTCCTTCGCCACATAAGGCTTCTGTTGCCTATTGACCACCAAACAGTAGTGACAGCGACAAATAATCAGAAACAGCTTCCGATGCTTGTAAATAAATAAATATGTGGTACACGATCCGTGAATAATGAACAATGGCAAGAATTAGTTTAGCTTCTGTTAAAATTACGACATTTCAGTGTAGATATTCGCTTGTTTTTTACCCACTGTACATATTTCACACTTATAAGGAGTGCAAATTAATGGTTATTAAAGTTAATTTTTTCTCTCAATTTGTAATCCACGGACTGGAGGAGATTTTATGGAGGACATTGAACTTCTGAATGTTGGTAAATATTCTGAATTATAATTCTCACTATAATTCCACATCTCGTCAATTGAATGCATGCATTGAGGAAAAATGTAATTTTGAATATGGTCATAAATTAAAGGGTCACGTGTAGATTTGTAATTAACTTAGCAAAGTGATGATGAATGATGCTAACAACATGCAACATTGTCAAAAAATTTGAATACGAATTTGTCCGTTATGCTGGACCAAGTGAACTTTGCTTCGCTAACACCCACCATAAACTGAGTTTAATTTCATTGTTTTTATTTCCCATTACATTTCATTGCATTTTAAAACACAGTAATAATTTCGATTTTGAACCATGATTGCGAGAACAATAAATGTACAGTGTATGGACCACAAAACTTTGTTTCATTCAAGTTTGGTCAGCTCATGTCCTCTTCCTCTTCTTCTCCTCTTGTGCTAATGACAAACGTCCTGTGGCCATTAAAATAATGGGATCTTGACAAAAAGCTTCGTTCACAATGGGCATTGCAGTTTTGAAAAGACAATTACACAAATTATTTAACTGGCCATTATTTTACGGTAACGAGGTGAAAAAGTGAAGATGGTGACAGTGAACGACAGAGCACAAGTTTAAAACCTATTACGTCCATGTGAGCGATTGTTTAGAGAATCAAAGATGAGATAAGAAGATAAATAAATGTGAATCCCATCCAAACAATAACGACCCACAGCCCAGAAAGTCCAATGTCAAATCAATATTAAAGTGACATTTAAAATGTAAAGAACGCGTGGGCGATCGCCTATTAACATCGTGCTTGTGTGTAAACCAGTACCAACAACACGGTACTGAATTACCAGAACCACTAATGAAAGTAAATGTTGGACATCGTTCGTTGTCTTCTTGAAGCTTAATGATCTTCACTCGCACATAATTCTCAATTAGTGAGCAAAACTCTTAATTCAAGATCCCCATTACATAAGACTCAAACAGCAAAGGATGTACGTAAGTAAATGAGATCAAGGATTGTGCGATCCCAATGAGATCATAAAAAACGAGAGTTGAGTTATTTAATATTTTATCAGGAAACCAAAAACCTAATTCAGCAGCATGTATTTAGTATGTCTGTATGTACATACTATATACTTCAATCTGCATTGGGATTTTGCCTGGTTCTTGCATTATAATTTGTTTGGGTGCACATTTTCATATGATGTAAGAAAATAGCATGTGGTCCACTACCACGTGAAAGAATGAGTTATGCAAACACTTTGAGATTTGGCTTGAAGCAGGACTTATGGAAATTCATTGACTCTTGATCAGAAGAACGTCTTCTGTCTAGAAGACGACCAACCAACAATAATCACAACAAAACGAGGAAGAAATGGAAACCAACATGGAAGTTGTAAAAAAAATTCATGCGAATGCAAACCGCATCAAAGCCCACTGAACTCAACCACCAGGGACGGACACGCAGAATCGTTAGGACTCATCAATATCCACCCTTCATTTATTACCCATTACCTTTTCTGATGTTGATAAACCAAATAAATAAATGGAACTAATGGAACCACGTCAAACCTTTGCATTCTACGGATTTACTATCTCGCTGCAATCATGGAAGAGATGACTGAACTCAAACTCTAAACAAAAACATTGAAGCTCGCAGTTTTGAGATGACGCCAAACTTGGGAAGCAGCGTCCCGAGGTAAAAACGACTGAAATTGAGATCGGTTCCATAAGAAACGGGCAGAAAATGAATGGAAGAATGAACTTTTTCGCACAGCCAGCCACCAACAAAGCCACAACAAAAATACGTAACATATAATAAAGCGGAGACTGTCTCCCAAACCAGATGCGTAAAGATACGTGCTACAAGGTTGAATATTTTTCAAGCAGCCAGCAAAAGCAAATCTTGGAACAGAAGCAGATTGTGATCTTCAAAGACGTAAAAGGTGGGAAAGAAGGCATCCGCTTTATTTGTGCCATTTCCCTGCAGAAATGGACATTGTTTACTGTTCATTGTCGGCAATTGGTTGAATAAATTTTCTTTGTTCTACGCCATCTCAGTTTAGAGATGAACTCTAGTCCTGGCAAAATTGTGTAATGTTGGGATCAACGAAACTCGAAGTGTATGGCTACGCATGTACATGTGGTTCTGCTACATACGCCGAATATTGAGGGATTCGATCAGTGTAACAGAATAATATACACGCACCACCAAAAAAGCAATAAGAGTCAGAATAATTGACATCTGAGTTCTCCACTCTCTGCACAATGCTGTGCGTACAGTTGGATTGGATTGGAATAAGTTGGATGTTGGAGGTGAAAGACCAGTGAGAGGCCAAAGAATATTATGCACACACAAACGCATGTAGAAAATCGCAGTCATTAAGTCAAGATCAGCAATGGCAATATTGTTGAATCATCGAATTCAAACTTGGGCATCAGGCCAGGTTCATCATCCTTTCTTTCTATAAACCCCTCATGACACAACTCTTTGCAGTTTGCACAATTAACTGAGCGTAAAAATCCCATAATCTTGTGCATGTGCAACTTTTTAAATCCGCGAAAGCTGGGAACAAATTGACACTTTCAGCCCATTTTACAAAGGTATGACTACAAGGAAGTAATATTTTTACGACTTTTTCCCAACAAAAAAAGTAAATTTTCATTTTATAGCATTCGATAATACGCTATCAAAGTGCGAGTATTCACATACTTTACGCATCTCAAACATGAGTAGTACGCACTTGAAAAATGTAAAATTCTTGAACTCTTAAAAACTGTGGAATCACCACGAAGAAAGATATAAAATCACTCAAGACGCAAACCAAGCTTCTTCCAATTCTTCATGTCAGTGATACGATACGCCAAGTTTTTCTGCACATTCCTGGTGAATTTGATTCTCGTTATACAAACGCCATGCAAATATTTACGGCATTAAATCGCTCATTCGCATCATCTACTCGTGTCTGATTTCTGACTGTACGTAAATTATAGTTTTCCCAGATTTTGGCGATTGGCACCACCGCGACACTAGCACCAGACCAGTGACAGGTTGTAAAACTCCGTTGGGTTGAGTAGTGATTTGCATAAGGGGATGAAATATTTAACGCATTAGGTTTGACTGACAGTGATAACCAGAAACGAGGCAGATTTCGTTTTGAGCAGTAAAGTGGAAGTGGAGGCAGTAAATATAAATGCTAATTGAATTCCATACAGTGTATTCCGGGATGAATATATTAAAGTTATACAGTCGCCACCACTGCCAAATTTTATTACTTCGTTCTGCCAACAAACTAACGATGATGCAGATTTATATTTTATTTGAGTTCCGGAGATGCAACTTTTCATCTGACTTCTCCAATTAAAATTAACCTGGTGTGAATCTTCCCACTGGTGGTAGCACGTCAACCTGAATAAATTTCATTTCGTGGGTGTACACACATCAGACACTTCAACGCAGTTTCCTTCACATCCAGAAATGCATTTGATATATTATGGATTCCTCATTTTTTACCCAACGCTGCACCAAAGCCTCCCCTGAAACCCACTTGATGAGACTGCATGTTTCCTCTTTGTCAATTTCTCCTGAGAATAATATTTCCCAAGAATCTCGAGTGTGTGGGGACTCGAATATCTTTAGTGCTTGGGGAGTTTGGTTGGAAGACATTAGCAAATTTACCTTAAGCCGCTTGACTTCACCAAAGTGCACGTTTTCCTACAATTGCGTTTTGTCAAGAAGTTCTGTCTAGCCACCCTCCTCCCAGGAAAAAAATTCCAGAGTGCACGCCATTCTTTGTAATATTTATCACAAACCCAACAGCTCATAGCACGGACTGCCCTGCAATAACTCGGCAGAAAAAGAAAATAACTT